GACTCAATCTTCAAATCACCATTTTTCTTGTACACACAAGTCAATTACACAATCTCGTCTAATCCAGATCCACTCAGCCTTTAGACGAATAAAGAAACAATGCGTACTTCCTCTTAAATGAGGTGCAATTTCAATCACATTTACAGATCACACTTCAGTCACAGACATGACCTTCATATGGAAGATTAACAGCAGGTTAATTGGAGGGAGCCTCTAGTAAAAAAAGTGCTACCGAACTCTCCTCACAGCAATTAAAGATAACAAAGTAGGCTTGCTGTCGAAAACATGAAATCATAAGCACTTTCTGTAATTCTTGTCCTGATATGAGCAGTGAAGCCGCTCTCCCCCTCATGGCAACAACATCAAAGTCTGGTGTCAGTTTTGAAGTAGAGACCCGCAGAATAAAGGACACGTAATAATTTGTGGAATATGATCTCTGGTGAGACTTGTTGTAATTAATGAGGGAGACAATTGTTATACACATATGCAGGGAAAAGACACAATAATAGCAACACCTGCAAAATGTAATGCAATATAATTATCTGCGCGGTAAATTGTAAAGCTTTTCATTTTTATAGGGGCTGTCACCTTGATGTTTCAACTCATAGTTCGTTGTCTTGTATTGGATTTTATTACCACAATTATTTGTTATTTAAATCATTTTATATATAATATATAACTCACAAGTGTCACAAACGACTCTACGTGGCAGAGCTTTGACACATCCCCTCACAGTGCTTCCTCAACAGTGCCGCTGTAAAGAAAAATCACTTTCTCTGTCTGGTATTTTCATCAAGAGGTGATGTCCCTCTAATAGTTTTGTGGACCTGTTTGTTGTGACTGTACCACAGAGGATTCACTTTTTCCAGCCCGTGTCAAATAAATCTAACCCTGTATAATTACCTCCCGGCAGTGAGTTCCTCTGTTAACAGAAAGGCATAGTTAACTGAGTTTTATGTTGACTGTTTTGTCTTCCTTTGCTTAAAGGAATAGTTTGACATTTTGCGGAATATTCTTATTGGCTTTCTTACAGAGAGTTAGATGAGAAGATTGATACCGCTGTCCCTACCTACACCTACTATCATTTTTTTATCTTGCATGCAATCAGTATAAAAAAAAAGTTATATGCTGGACTGTTGGCACAGCGCTTATTTAGCACACTGAAACAACAGATCAATCTTCTTATCTAATTCTCTGCAAGGAAAAATCAGATCCTCCCAAAAGCAAAATATTCCTTTAAATGTATAAAGCAATTTTCATCTCTGCGCTAACTGACTGTACAAGGGATGAAGTAGAACTCTCACAATCGGCCCACAAACTATTCCTCCAACAGTCATTTTGAAACTTCCCTTTAATGAACGGTTTTCTGTGATTTTCTGTCTTGTCTTGAATTGTTTACCTGCTCCTGAATTGTGCATTGCTTTGTAAACACACATTACCTTGCTGAGCTTGCAAGCTCATGAGACATTAAGCTGCCTTATTTTCCCTTTACTTTTCCAGACACTCCTTTTCGCGTAGATGCTGGAAAAATGGTGTGTGATGTACTCTTCAACACGCCTGACAGATCAGTCATTCCGCTTTCCTCTCCACCTTTGTGAGAAGTATTTAGCTGTCCATTCTGTGTTGTATGCTCAGCATTCACTGTCGTCTTTCCCTTTTTTCACAGCACTCATTTTATTTTGCAGCAGAAGGGATATCGACTGTACTGAGCAATGGTGACATTGTTATAGCCTCGCTGAGGGCCTAATAATAAGAACATTACTGCACTATCTATTGGAATTTGTTAACAGGCATGAGACATTTCAGGTCAACAAATTAAGCAACAAAATGATCTCACTTACAGATTTGTGGGTCAGATTGAAGTATTTGACAGGCCGGCTCTGGCGCACATCCTGTGGTCCTAGTTACACCATGCTTTCTCTAAATGGTACAGGGCGCAGCGGTCTATGAGAGCAAGAGGTTGCAGGTTTGCAGGCCTGTGCCTATAAACAGTTTCAGAGTCCTGAGGCATGATGCTAAAGGCTTGCAGATTGTGCACGTTGCTGTGGATAGAAATGTCTGCTAAAAGCCCGGTTTGTACCCACTTTAAATAATGTTTAGTCATGGAAAACACTTTTACCATTGATCTGCATCTTTTTGTGCTTATTTGCAATGATACAGAGTCACACAGCCCTGTGGCAACCCAGCCCGCAGTAAACAGGCCGGTCAAAGGTCTGAAACTAGAATTCTTTGTATTACATTGTCCTCCAAAGGTTTTTCAGCGGTGCACATTTAGATGAGAAATACCAAGTGAGAGAGAGTGGGAGAGGAAGGCAAGGTGCAGAGAAAGATGAGGTTTATACCGATGGTCCGCCACTGAACGGCCTCTGTGGTCCCCCTCCTTCTTCCTGCCTCCTGGGATTGAGGGAAAACATTCTCCTGGTGACATGAATCATGGATGAAGCTGTATGTGTGTGAAAGTGCCGCGTGCACGCACAGAGATACAGTATTTCAGGATATCCTGTTCCTTTAAATCTGCGTCTGTAAGTGTGATAGTGTGTGCTACCTGCATTCCAAGTACCACACACACTCCCATGGATATCTCCTATATAGCTCTGTTGCCATGCTCTGCTCTCTTCCCACCAGCCCCCTTCCGTCTCTCCCTCTCTGCTTCATCAATCACTTAAGCTCTCCCACTGCTCACTGCAAAGCTGGACCTATTAGGTTTTCTAATTGAGCCAATTAGCAATTAAACACTCAGATGCACCCCGAAATTCTGGAGGTCCCTTCAGGCACACTGACGCCTGCCAGGGCCTTGGATTTTTACCAGGGATTCTGGCTCGTGTGGGCCTCTGCTGCCCTCTGCGCCTACCTAAACTTGAGGTGCGAGCCCCCCTCCCCTGGCCTTTTGAATGTGGGTCTATCAGATGTCCACTTCTCTGACAGACTCTAGGGTCAGTGAAGCAGCGCCTCTCGTCGTTTTTTGCTCAAGGACTCTGAAGGGTCTCTGCTGACCAGAGAGAAGCTTTTCATTAACACCAGGACCTGTTTCCTCTCCATCTGAATTCTCACTTCTCATCTCTCATTTGTGTCTCGCTATCTCTGCTCCTTTCCCCCCCCACTCTCTCTTCAACTTTGCCTCTTTATCTTCCAGTCTCTTTTATGTGTTTTGGAGGATGAAAGTTGAATGGTAGATGTGTGTGTGTGTGGGTGGAGGGCTCGTCCTTGCATGCAGTGCGAAGCAGGCCAGCCTCCAGACTCTCCATGGTTTAATTAGAGCGCACATCGTGTTGCCCGCTTCACCGTGAGAGGATACGCTCCCAGATGCACACATGGGCGCGTGGGCAGAACAACAGAGTCCACACTGAGAGGAACAAAGGCAGATACCGAATATATTTAGGCTGAACGCATTGTACCAAAAGAAGTCAATGAGCGATTACAGACGCTATGGACTCGCCCGCAATTAGCGCTCTGTGGAAGAACACGAACCTGTTTTAACCACAGTTTTTTCCCCCATAAGCTGGAGTATATGCTCCCCTGAAAGAGCGTGATGTACATAAGGAACTTTATTATTACATGAATGAGCCTCCTTATTTGCATGTCTTACATCAGTGTGAGTGAGACTACTCATCTGCTCATCAGCCTATATACTCTAATTATCGGCAGTCTTGCCTCGGGACACTCAACTCCCATACTTTCAAATTCAAATGGCTTCATTGGCAGTGGGAGAGTGGGAAAAAAAGACAACAAAAACACAGAGGCGCTTCAGTGGGTGCAGGCGATGCAATAATACGGTTAATGATGACTTTAAATGGGACAATTATGGCATGGTAATAAAGCAAGAGAGAGCGTGAAAGAGAGAAGGAGGTAATGGTGAATTTTAAAAATCAGATAAGACCGAAATAAAGTGTGTGTATGTGTGTGTGAACATAAAAGAGATTTCTCAGTTTTTCCTGTACTGTCTTCATTACTGCTATGGATGTGTGTCCCCTACCATTACATAACACCACCCAGCAATGTTATGACTGTATAATCTCCTCCATGCCTCATGCATTTCTGACTGGGTCTGTTACATGAGGATTTGCACATTTGCTCAGTAGATTACATGAATGAGTGTACAGTGTGTGTGCACCCATTCATGTGTGGGTCATTGAAGGCTTACTGCGTGTGCATGTGTGTGCCTTTGTGCTCTGCATGTAGCCCAGAAGTGTCCCGGGCCGTCATAAGCTGCTTACAGGCGCACATTACTGACCTTTGACCTTAGTGGGCAGTGAAAGGCTCACCCTAATCTCTGCCCTCTTGGTCTGCATGTTCTATTGTAGCGTACCCGAACCAGCAGTAAAACCTTAAAGAAATGAATAAGCAGAACTATAGAGGCGTCATGAGGAAGACTTGCCGTAGTGGTGTGACTACATCAGCTGCACTACATTAGCTTGCTGCAGAGATGTAAGCATGCGAGGAGTAAGCTGGCAGGTTAAACACAGTTCACCAGGAGGGATTTGGTGCATACAGGTCAGACCACAGACCAGGACAGCAAACAAGTCCAATTTAGGGTTTTCATCCATTATAGATGAGGAGAGTCATGTAGAAATGTTTGCTCAACATGGAGTGCACATGAGAGTTCTGCAGATTAAGTTGCAAAAAACAGAGCAAGGAAAATGTGATCACATGGACTGCATTATTTTTTTCAGTTCTTCTAAACGCTGGAGAACTGCATGTTGTGATGTAATCAAGTGGAGCGAAACACGTTGATCACTGACTTGACTTGATCTCGCCAGTACTGTCTGTTGAGTCTCGTTTTGTTTCCACTGCTTTCATTACAGGAAATATTTTTCACTTGGCAACAGTTGAAGGGAAAAAGTGTTGCACCGACAACATTTAATGGAATATATTTCTGTTTCAGATAAGCTATAATCTCTCTTATCTTTCTCTCTCCCTCACCCCCCTTTGCCTCCTCCTCTCTCGTTCTGCTTTTCTCTCCACTTTAAATCTCTTCCTTCCTCCTCTGTCTCATTCTGCAGAACTCGGCGGCTGTTCAAATCAAATGATCTGGATTATAGAAGACCAGTAGGGATGGAACGGAACAGAACCATGGCTGGGGAAGTGTTTCGAATCACCGTTGCTCAGAATCAACACTGACCTGGCAGCCACACCGAGGTCCGACCTCCTTCTCCGGCACCCCAAGGACCCTTCTTTACCCCAACAACTGCTTTGCCCTCCATCTCACCTTCACTCAGCGCTCCTGGTGTGGATCAAACCTCCAAAAAAAGCTACTCTTAGTCTTTCAGGGTCTGCCTGCTTTTGTTGTTTTAATCCCCCTCTTATGCTTTACCTTCCAGACTGTTGGTTATGATCTACATTCTCTCATAAAAAGACAGAAGTATTCCAGAACAGACTAGAAGCAGGTGGCTGAACAGTATGAATCCAGTCATGTACCCCCTTCCACTTGCTCTAAGCAAACAGAGTCGGCGGGGTTTGTTGTCCAAGACACGCCCCCTTAGTCTCATGACAGACTGGTGCCTAATGGGTGTGCTAGGCCTTATCCTGCTCCTCAGCCTGGCCTCGAGCCAGAAGATAGACCCTTCCAAACACCCCATAGTCACCACCAACTATGGTAAGCTCAGAGGCATCAAGAAGGACTTGAACAATGAAATCCTGGGCCCTGTAGAGCAGTACCTGGGCGTCCCCTACGCCACTGCACCCATCGGCGACCGGAGGTTTCAGCCGCCTGAAGCCCCGGGATCCTGGCAGGAGATCCGCAACGCCACCCAGTTTGCCCCTGTGTGCCCTCAGAACGTCCACGGCGTGCTCCCGGAGATTATGCTGCCCGTGTGGTTCACAGACAACCTGGACGTGGCGGCGGGTTACATCCAGAACCAGAGCGAGGACTGCCTCTACCTCAATATCTACGTGCCCACGGAGGATGGTGAGTGGACGGTATTATATGAAGGGTTGGTGGAGGCTGCGAAATTAGGGATTTAGTGGGTAACAGTGAGAATAGTGAATAGATAATTGACTGTTCGCTAAGCCTTGTCCCCTTAGTTACTGTTGCTATGCCTGTCAAGCTTTCTGTACTCGCACAGTACATGTGTAGTTTATAAAGATACCAGAGATAGAAATAGCAGACTTCTCATTTCTAGCCAGCGACCGTCGATTTTGTTGGCTGAAATGACAACTGGCAGATTTTCCATTACCTTAATGAGTTGGTTGGAAATGACTGACTGACCTTAATGTTTCCAGCTGACTTATTCCAACATATCCCAGGCACCAACTCAGCATCCTCACCAGTTGATGATAGTGTTTTAAGTATAGGTTACAATGTAAGATCAGACTTACAGTATATCATTCTCACAAGGTTATATTTATTCTTTATCTTTCCCATTTTCAAATAGTATGTTTCACTTTAAAAGTTCACAAAGGAAAGGCTTTGATAATGAGGACTAACAAATGTGTTTAGTGAATGTAGCGCTATCTCAGATCCAGGTTCGGTTTGGCTAGAGCTGCTGTAGTGTAATCCAATAGAGAGCAGGACAGAGCCGCTAACATTACGCCACACACAGGTATAATAGCATCCATGCTTTATTCACAAACAGGTCTTTTTTTTAATGTAACCTGTAACCTCACAAACTAATGAGTATGAAATGCTGCTGGCTGCTGACGCTATCATCAATACAACCTCGTGTGCGCCGTCTCCACATAGGGAAAACATGCAAAGCTCGAAAGGCCCGCCATGCTTCGTTACGGTTCATAAGCTATGACTGGACAATCGCTTTTCAGGGGAGGGGTTTAGCGAACGGTCAATCAGAACCACTCATAAGGGAGAGGAGCCTAGGGAAGTTCAATTAATGTGGAAAAATGTCTGAAAAACTGTGAATGTTTTCATTCTTTTCTAGGTTCATGCACGACTTTAAACACCATAAATATTTCATGTTCTTCTTGTAGATAGTGAATCTAACTTTTAGGATGGACTGTGTGTGTGAGGGGACTTATATAAAAAAAAGAAACAATATGCAAGATATTCAATGGAGGGTCAAAGAATTTTTCAATTACCCTTCCCTGGTTTTACAGTACATCCCATTCAAGGTGTTATAAAGCCAGAGCACAAAGGCCAGGACTGGAGCAGTTTCCAGGTGCTTTATAAGAAAAGGATTAGTTGACATTTGACTTTCGTTTTTTACCGTCAAGAACCCTCTTCTCTCATCTCAGATCATACTGCAGACGTTTTTGTCTGCCAGGGCACTATTAGGTGTGTTAGCAATAAAAGAGAAATATTTCCATTTTGTCTGCATGTGTGATATGAAGAGTAGAGACTTCCATCACCCCTCTCTCTCTCCTTGCTCAGGGTATATTGTAAGACGTCTTTCACATGTGTCTTTTCATTTTTATATCTCTAATATAAGCTGCACAAAGCCCGCACTGAAAAAGAATGAATCACGTTGGCGGGTTTTACACAAATGTTTTTGAACACGCACTTGGTTTGACCTCAAACAACTGGAGGTCTTCAGAAAGCAACTTTTAAGAGGACTCTACCTAACACAATCTGTGTATTGCAGATACAACTTTTGTCCTATAAAAAAAATATAGGCACACACGCAAATGCAAGTTTAAACAGAGATTCAACGACAAAAGAACACCCCGTCATGTTTTTTGATATCAATATCAGTGTGTGTGCCTTTATGTTTGTATTCATGTCTGTCTCACTGTCTATTTGTGCACATTGACGTGTGTCAGTATAGTGATGAGGCACTGATTTCTACTCTGAACTTTTTCTTCACTCTAAACATTTCGGTCTCCCTTTCAGCACTTGACTGGAGTTTTTTTTTTTTTTAGCCCTTCACAGCTCAACACCCTTCCTTCCGCCTCTCCACTCCAACACTCCAACACTGCAGCCTCAGCCCCTCAACAGCCTGTCATTGCCACTTATAGCTCCTCGGGCACATATAGAACACTATACATCAGGTCTTGAGTCATTTCACACTGTCACATGGCTTGTTTTATTTTTTTCCCTGTTTTCTGAGATGTACGACTTGGTGGAAATGCAAGTGCCATGATACAGAGAGATATACACACACTCCCCGCCCACTCGCTTACACACTGTTCCATTGGTGTAAGGTGCACTTCTTCTGTAAATGTACACAGGTGTAAAACATCTTCCAATAATGACCTTCATTCCTCAACATGAAAAATCAGCATTACAGCCAACATCGTCGGCATTATACTTTACTGCATCAGTCAGGGTGTGAGCAGATGTTTGTTGACCAACAGTGCACATACTGTATAATTGGGATAAATGAGTAATATTCATTTATTGTTAAAAAAAAATCTTTATTGGCAAAATATGAACATAATCATTATATAGTATATTTATGGTGATCAAGTCAGGCATGACATTGCTAGCCTCAGCACTTCTCCAACAGCCCCAGGGTTGTCTTTCTCTTTGCTCCTGCTTTCCTCTGCTTCTCCTCCTGCATTGATTTTAAGTCACTTTTTACATGTGCTGCTGGGGAGGGAGGGGATGAGAAGAGACGAGAGGAAGCAAGAAAAGCAGACGGTAGAAGGCAAGAAAAGGAAGGAAGAGGAGAAGGCTTTTGGGCAAGTAGATCAAAAATCTGCCCCAACTCGCTGTCCGTGGGGACTGTCAGCTCAACTCATTGTCACAAAACACAGCGCAAGTTGAATACGCTCACATGGTAACACGCGCACACGCTCATCCTCTCCCATCTTCTCTTGCCTTGTCTTTGATTCTACTTCTATTCTTCTAACATGAACGACACATCTCCCGGAGTCTCCCGAGGCCTCTTACTTGTATGCTTTTTTTAGGGCACCCTTAAGACAGAATCCTTAAAAACCTCCTCTAATTTTAAGTGGATTAAGCCTCCAGAATTACTTCTTAATGCTGCCATCAGTAAAAATGGAGGAAAGTGGGACACTGACATGGATGTGTGTGTTTGTTCATAGATAAACAAATACGCGACAGTTGGTGGTTACTCATGACTTCTTAATTAATACTTAAGTACTTAGTAAATTGCAAAGCTAGCCATGTGTTGTCTTTTTTCCCATTAGTTCCTTGGCACTCAAGAATAAATATGTTTCTGAATTTGTAATACTGTACGAACAAACCACAAAAGGGGACCAAACTAATCACCTTACAGTAATGATACAAAATGACATTTGTTACTAAGCGATTAACAGAAGCTTAATCTAATATGCAAATGAGGATTTTAGTGCTTTTAGATTTTATTACTTTCAGTATATGAATATTTTAGAGCCTGGAATATTTCTTGATTCTTTCTTCATCAATCTTAAGTTTAACATTGTTCTCAACACACTTACTGAATCAATATTTATACATTGTAAATATAAATACAAATACATAATAAACATTACTCTTTCACCTAACAAGTTATCCAAATATTAAGTAGTTCTGTTATGTTACTACGTAAATTCAAAGAAGGATAATCCTGGTTTTTATTAGTAACTCTATAAGAATGAATTGATGATCATTGGAATAGCACTAATGTAAAGTGTGTGCTATAAACCCAGCTTGTTTCCTTGTTCCTTTGGTAGTGTAAGAATATCAGGCCTTAGGACCCAGGGGAACTGGCTTTGCCCTCCGGCAGGTTGCTCCATCACCAAATTCAGGGAGGGAGGGGCTCCATCGGTTCCCCTGGCGATGACATCCCATAAATCATAGCGAGAGGTTTTCATCTGGCTCCTGCAGAGTCACGGTGGATCGATGGACGAGGGGAAGGGAGGGAAGGACCGGCTGCTGCTGCTGCTGCTGCTGCCTCAGGCCCGCAGACAAACCGCATGCTTCTCTCAGCAGTCAGCAGCCGTTAACACAGAGCAGGACTTCATGGTTAATAAGTCGGAGTAGATGGATTCAGCAGCCCCAGAATGGAAACTCACTGTGAATGTTTGCCAACATATAGGATCCCATATAGCTGTGCTTTGTGCAGTTAGTCAGAGGGAATAGAAGTGATGGAGAAACTATTGCTTTGATGTTAGCAGATGTTTTCTACACCGGCTGCATAGTAACTACACCAGCCATTCAGCGTGTTCACCGGCCATGTAGCATCTTCACCGGCAGTTTAGTGTCTTTACTGGCTGTGTAGCATCTACACCAGCCATGTAGTGTCTTCACCAGCTGTCTAGCATTTACACCAGCCGCATAGCGTCTTAACCGGCTGTGTAGCGTCTTTACCAATTATGTGGAGCCGTTACTGGGTGTGTTGTATCTTATGTAACCAGTCATGCTTTCCCTAGAACTTCAGCTCTTTACGTTTCAAATCTTTTCATTGATTTTCCACCAGTATTGTGGACAGTAGATGACAGTGACATTATTAAGAATGTCTGGATGGACTGGTCTCTGATTCTTCTGCTTCTATCAACTCCTACCCTATCGCACATCCATTCGCCCCCCCACACACACATTCCCACATTACTTGTGCTTCCGCTCTTTACACTCACAGCTGTGACCTTTCCCCACTTGTGCGTGTAAATACGTTGTTTTAACACCCCCTCGGCCAGTGATTTTACTTCTTTATCAGGTCAGTAGACTGATATCATTAATCAGGGTGTTTGTGCCTTTATGTGTATATTCATATATGTCTCTCTTACATGATGATGCACTGATTTCCAGCCTTTTTCCTCTGACACATTTTGGTCTGCATTTCAGCACTTCCATCACTTGACTGGACTTTTTTTCCTCCTCACAGCTCAACACACTTCCTTCTGCCTCTCCACTCCAACACTGCAGTTTCAGCCCTCAATAGCCTGTCATTGCCACAGGCACTTTACTACTTTATCAGTTCACCCCATTTTTCCATTGTTGAAAGTATTATCTTTTCCATATTTTGTAATGGTTATTTTCCAACATAGGGAAGCAAACTTGAAATGCAGCATTTTCTGAAAGGAATTACAGTT